GTGAGGGTCGCGAGGCTGCCTGAGCTTCTAAGTGAGCGCGGTGCTTTTGGGAACGCGGGACAGGGGACCTGCGGCGCCAGGAGCGGGCCGGAGCGCAGCGGCGGGGCTGCCCTCTGGATGGGAAGTTAAGGTTTACCGCGACGTCCACCCAGGGTTTCCGAGGTGAGGGCGCTGCGCCAGGCCGGGCAGGCGGTGAATCCGGGACCCGCAGGCGCACAGCTGGGTCGAGGCGCGGCCGCCATGGCGCGTGAGGGGCGGGTGTGTGCACGCGGAGGCCTAAGTTCCCTGCGCAGGATTCTTCGCCTGCTGCTGCCGCCCTGCAGCCCACATCTCCTGGGCGCTGGGGAAGAAACTCCCTGGCGGTGTTCTGTGGCATCCCAGGGGGTGGAGGGACGGAGCAGCTTCGAGGGCACGTCCTCGTATATCATATGGAGGACACTGACCCCCCCACCGCATCTTGGAGGCCGGAAGTCGGTTCCCTCTGCGGACCTTACAGGCGAGAGGGCTCGTGCCCCTGACTTGTAAAATTGGGATTTTTATTGGCCTCCGGGATTCTGCTCCTGGCGGTGTCTTCAGGCTGCTGATGGGCAAGCCAGGTGTGCCAGGTCCAGGATGCACATGAGGAGCGTTTGTAGCCATCACTGAATCACCTCATGACTAGCGGGGCAAGTCTCAAATTAACCGCAGGATTTCCAGTAGGTTGGATTGTGGGGTTGGTGTTTGCAGTCCAAAGAGTTGCTGTGATTTCCCTGTGTCTGTCTGTCTGTCTTTCTAGCTTCTTAGATCATCTCATTTGCCGTCCTTTCACCGAAGAGTTAAGCAAGACGTTTGGCGTGGTTTCCTCGCTTTCCTCCTATCTTTTGCTGCTAGAGCTGCTTTCGATAAGAAGTCTTTTCTTGCAGTGGTATCTTTTCTTTGGGTTCCAGTGTTGTTCATCCTTTCTTTGCCGAAAGAATGAATCCCAGTGCTTCAGGAAGTTAAAGAAAAGTGATCTGCTGGTAGTGTTTAATCTTTGTTCTGAGTTGATGTGTGTTAGCAGCTTTCTTTTTGTTTTTAAATTGTATTAGTAAAATTTCACCAGTGAACCAGAAGCTCTTTTTTTCTATTGTGACATGCTAGCTTTAAGATTTCTGAGAACTTCGTGTCAAAGAAATCTTCGAAAAGTTACTGAAGTATACAGAAGAAGTTCACAATTTTAAATGTGCAGGTGGTCCGGGCGCAGTAGATCACACCTGTAATCCCAGCACTTTGGGACGCCAAGGTGGGTAGATCACTTGAACCTAGGGTTTCCAGACCAGCCTGGGAAACGTGGCAAAACCCTATCTCCACTAAAAATACAAAAGTTAGCTGTGTGTTGTGGTGTGTGCCTGTAGTCCCAGCTACCCCGTAGGCTGAGGTGGGAGGATCACCAGATCCCAGGATGTTGAGATTGCAGTGAGCCGTGATCATGGCAGTGCACTCTGGCCTGGATGGCAGAGTGAGACCCTGTCTCAAAAAAAAAAAAAAAAAAAAAAGTACAGGTAACGAATTTTTACCAAGTGAACCACCACAGATCAAGAAATAGAACATTACTAGACTGGGGTATATTTGTAGGAGTGGCATTGTTGGTTTTAGAGGCATATGAATGATAAAACTTTAGTATTACATATTGTTGAACATTTTCCCAAAGTGGTTGTACCATTTAGTAGGGATATTCTGGTTACCCCACATCCTTGCTGATGCCTGTCAGTTAAAAATTATTTTGCCATTTTAGTAGGGGAGCAGTAATATATCAGTGTGGTTTCATTTTGTGTTTTCCTGGTATTGAGATTGAGTATCTTTTATTGCCATTTATATGTCCTCTTTTGTGAAGTGCCTGTTAAATCTTTTTATCCAGTTTTCATTGATATGCTTGTTTTTCTGTTGATTTGTGATACTTTATTCTGGATATACATCCTTTCTAGGATATATATGTATTGCATTTCCCTTTTTTCAATCTGTAGCTTGCCTTTTCACTCTTTTAATGGTGTTTTTTCATGAATGGAGATTCTCTAACTTTTTTTTTTCTTTTTGAGACAGGATCTCACTCTGTTGCCCAGGCTGGAGTGCAGTGGCACAATCACAGCTCGCTGCAACCTTGTCCTCCCAAGGCTCAGGTGATCCTCCTGCCTCAGTCCCCAAGTAGCTGGGACCTACAGGGGAGCACTACCAAACTCAGCTCTTTTCTATATTTTTAGTACAGATGGGGTTTTGCCACATTGCATAGGCTGGTCTGGAATTCCTGGGCTCAAGTGATACACCTGCCTTGGCCTCCCAAAGCGCTAGGATTACAGGCATGAGCCACTGCACCCAGCCTGAGATTCTTAATTTTAATGAAATTATACTTTATCAATCTTTTCCTTTATGGTTACTGCTTTTTGTGTCCTGCTTAATAAGTCAATGCCTAACTTAAGAGTATGAATACGTTTTTCTGTGTTGACCTTATAGCAATTTTATTTTAGTTTTTGTATTTTTTTTTTTTTTTTTCATACAGGGCCTCACTCTGTTGCCCAGGCTAGAGTGCCATGGCAGGATCTCAGCTCACTGCAACCTCCACCTCCTGGCTCAAGTGATCCTCCCACCTCAGCCTCCTGAGTAGCTGTGAGTATAGGTGTGTGCCACCATGCCTGGCTAATTTTCATGTTTTTTGTAGAGATGGGGATTCAACATGTTTCCCAGGTTGGTCTCAAACTCTTGGGCTCAAGTAATCTTCCTGCTTCAGCCTCCCAGAGTGCTGGGATTACAGGCGTGAGCCACCCCACCTGGCTATGATTCACTTTTTACTACATGGATGTGTCTGCTTCATCCGGCACCATTTATTGAAAAGATCATCCTTTTCCTTCTGCACCGTGTGGCACTTTTTTTCATAAATCGAATGGCTGTATGGTCATCTGATTTATGAAATTAGTGTGGGTCTGTTTCTGTTTCTGAACCAATCTGGGCAAAATAGTGAAATCCCATCTCTACAAAAAATAAATATAATAAATAAATGAATAAAATTTTAAAAATAAGTGCATAGAGCAGATGGAGTCATAGATGATAATTTATAAATGTCAGTTTCTTGGCTACATACAGGTGCTGGTAATTCAGATGTGTTGGGTGTTCAGGCAAAATGTATTAAGTGAATTATATGGTGTTCAGAATGATTGCTAGATGTTCATTGTGACTTGAATTAGATGTTATTTGAGCCCCACAGAGCTACAGTTTTGACTCTTTTATTTATTTATTTGTCTTTTTAAAATTTTTACAATCTTCCTGTCAAGGCAGTGACTCTTTTATACTTAATTGTTCTTAGGTATTTAATTACCAGGAAAACTATAGATCGTACCTAAATAAGTGTTAAGCCATTTAAAGGGCTGATGTGATGTGATGTGAACAATAGTATTCTACATAAGAGTTTTTGGACTACCTCGAATAATTTTTTTTTCTCTTGAGACAGTGTCTTGCTCTGTCGCCCAGGCTGGAGTGCAGTGGTATGATCATCGCTCTCTGCAGCCTTGACCTCTCAGGCTCAAGCAGTCCTCCCACCTCAGCCTCCTTAGTAGCTGGGTCTATAGGCATGCACCACCATGCCGGGCTAATTTTCTATTTTTTGCAGACAGGATTTTCCTGTAGTGCCCACACTGGTTTCAAACTCCTGGGCTCAAATGATCCTCCACCTTGGCATCCCAAAGTGTTGGGATTACAGACCTGAGCCATCACACCTGGCCATTTTAGTTTTAATAATTTTTATATTTTCCTAATTTAAAAGTTTTACTAAAATCTCTTACAGCTATTATTTATGAATATAGTATTCATTGTTGTTATGATTATTTTGTATGTGGTTAATCTCATTTTCAGTATAAGCTCCTGGAAATTAGAGATTTTGTCTCTTTTATTCACCACTGTATTCTCAGTACTTGACCTTGCCTGGCATGAAACAGATATTGAATAAATATTTGTTAAATGAATGAATGAATGAATGAACATACTAATACCATATTCAACAATCTCCAAGTATCACAGTTTTCACCATTTAACAAATAAAATAGCTGGTATAGAGCAGAGTCATGGTCAACCTGCCATAAAAGGAAATGTCAGTGAAAAATAAACCTTTGTATGTGTAGCTGCTGAGATTTGGGGGCTTTTGTTACTGTAGCATAACCTAGCGACAGCTCAGTGAGACAGTGTATAGAATATACGTGTGCAGATAGACCAGACTGACCAGTAGATGAGATTCCAAAGATAGTTCAATAAGCATTAACTAACTACACCCACACACTCTTTTCTAAATTATTTTTATTATTTTTTATTTTTTATTATACTTTAAGTTCTAGGGTACATGTGCACAACATGCAGATTTGTTACATAGGTATACATGTGCCATGTTGGTGTGCTGCACCCATTAACTCGTCATTTACATTAGGTATATCTCCTAATGCTATCCCTCCCCACCCCTCCCCACAATAGGACCCGGTACACCCACACACTCTTAATTCCCTAACAGAAAGAATCGAATTCTTGTTCACTAAGATCTGCCTCAAATATTACTTACTTTGTGAAAACTTCCCTGGCTACTCAAGTATTTAGTAAGGACTCTTTATTTTCTCCCCCCAAGGCTGGAGTGCAGTGGTGCCATCATAGCTCACTGTCCTCTAACTCAAGGCTCAAGGAATCCTCCTGCCTCAGGCTCCCAAGTAGCTGAGACTACAAGTGTGTGCCACCATGCTTGGCTAATTTTTCATTTTTTATTTTCAGAGACGGGGTCTTACTGTGTTGCCCAGGCTAGTCAGGACTGTTGATTACATATGACAGAAACCCAACCAACTCTAGTTCCCCACCACCTTTCAACCTGCTCCTCCCTGGGTCTTCCCAGTCTCTGTAAATGGCAGCTCCGTCCTTCAAGTTGCCCAAGCCCCAAATCTCAATGTTAACCTTGATTTCTCTCTTTTATCTCATAGGCAATCTGAAGGCAAATGCTGTTTAGATGCAGGTGAAGGTTCCTGGTGACCCAGGCTCTCACCAGCAGATTGTCCCTTACCGTCCTCCTGAGGTTGTCTGGAGCTTCAGTGCTGTGTGCTCTTGGCCTCCACGCTGGGGTACCACCGACTCCCACTGTCCAGGGCTTCCGGTGGACTCTCCGAGGCACTGATGCAGAAACTTCCCCATTCGGTGCACCAAGAGCAGCCTCACACGGTGTGGGCCGTCAGGAAGAGCTGCCAGATCCAACAGGTAAAAGTCCTGAGGCATTGCCAGCTGGATGGGGTCAGAGTCCTCTTTCTATTATGACTCAGATGTGAAGGGAAGATGCCAAGGGCCCTAAACATCGCAGGGCCTTGCCTGGCATGAAACAGATATTAAATAAATAGTTGTTAAATGAACGAACAAATATTCACAGCGTGTGCCGCCCACAACCTGCAATGCCGTGGTCAGGTGGAAGTGATTTTACTTCGGGAGAGGACAGTGTTCTCTCCAGGACTTTTCCTTAGTAGCTAGATCTGCATCCCTCTCCTCTCTCTTCCCCTTTCACCCCCCATTCTCTGCCCCCATTTCTCTCTCTGTTTCCACCCTGCCATCCCCTTTCACCTGCCTTCTCCCCTTCAGCTCTCATGGCTCACCCCCTCCCTGTCCACCCGCATCCCCCAGGCTAAGGCCCCTGCACTGTCCTGGGTGGGGAGATGTGTCTGGTTTTAGGCACTGCCCTCTAGATGTGTCCAGGATGGGGAAACATGGCTCAGTTGCCAGTATAATGGGTTAAAAGAGTGGCCACTCTTGAAGGCCTTTCCCGTCTCCCATTCCAGAATCCTGTAGGACGTAGAATTAATGGGCCACAGTGGAATTCTTGGTTCCCAGGACCGTGTGGTGGACGCCTTCTTTCCCTGAGCCTTCATGGGGTGACTGTTAGGTACCAGGCCCTGGTCTGGGCTAGAGGCCCCATAATGAGTAAATCTCTGGTCACTACCCCACGGAACCCACCACTGCAGGCATTGAGGGGGGAGAAAGAAAGGGGCATGGCCTGTTTGTTTCCTTCTCACGTGGCCGCCCACCAGGTCCTGGGACAGTAGGAGCCAGTGCAGGGAGAGAAGTCCAGTGAGAATGGCAAATGGACGACGTCAGACCCAGGGGCTTAGGCCCCCACCTGCAGCCGGGCAGCTTCTGGAGTGGACAGGGAGCAGCAGGGAAGGTCATGGCCTGGTGTTCTGGGGTCCACTGTCTCATTTCATTCTTGTGGGCACCAGGACTTATCCAAAGACAAGACTCAGTATTTCTGGGAACAGTGGGCCAGAGACAGAATGTGTTTCAGAGGAGGAGGAAGGGGCTGTACCCCATGGAAACAGTATATGGTTTTACAGTAGTGTGTCTTTCTCTAATAACTAGTTAGCATGTTCCTGTTAATGGAAAATGTTGATGGTGTAAGTTCCCCTGGATGTTCTCATCTTCATGTAAATTTGTTCATTTCCTGCCTTCCTTCCCTCCCACTCTCTTTCTCTCTCTATTCTTTCCCTCCCTCCCTCCCTCCCTTTCTTCCTCCCTCCCTCCCTCCCTCCCTTCCTTCCTTCCTCCTTTCCTCCCTCCCTTCCTTCCTTCCTTCCTCCTTCCCTCCCTCCCTCCCTTCTTTCCTTTCTTCCTTTCTTCTTTTCTTTTTCTTTCTCTCTCTCTCATGCTGTCTCTTTTTCTTTCCTTTTCGTTCTCTCTACTTTTTTGAATAGACCACACTGTACTGAAGCCTACATTATTTACCAAAATCTCTGGAGCTGCTTCTATCTTGCAGGCAGGGAGCTCGTCCTGTAGCCCTTAGCTCTTCCCAGCCCCCTCCTCCTTTGATTTGTGGGTGCCACTAGGGCAGCTGCTGAGTCTCAGTGGTTCCTAGTCTTCACCAAGTTCTGCCCACCCAGATGGTTTGTACCTGTCCTTACCAGAAACCTGCACTGTCCAGATCACTGAGTCTTCTTCTACCTAACTGATCTGCTATCTGTGTTCTGGGGGCACCCCAGGGTTAGAGGTAAATGGCACAGGCGTTGAAATCTCCAACTGCTCTGACTTCAGGTGGGTGCACTTCAGTGCGAAGTACTAACCACACAATAGCAGGATGCAACCAAAACCTTGGTATGGGGCTGCTGCATCCTCATTTAAAAAAATTAATAGACTTTATTTTTTTAGAACAGTTCTAGGTTTACAGAAAAATGGAGTGGATAGTACAGAGAGTTCTAGGCTCCCCTGTCCTCCAGCACACAATTTCCCCTATTAGTATGTTGTATTAGTGTGGTCCATTCGTTACAATTGATGAACCACTGTTGGTACATCATTATCAACTAAAGTCGGTAGTTCACATTAGAGTTCATTCTTTGAGTTTCACAGATTATGGGTTTTGGCAATTACATAATGTCCTAAATCCCCAATACAGCATCATGCAAAATAGTTTCACTGCTGAAAATTCCCTGTGCTTCACCATTTCTTGCCTCCTCCTCTCCTCCACCCCTGACAACCACTCATCATTTTACTACTTCTATCTTTTTGACTTTCCAAGAACATCCTAGAGTTGGAATCGTACAGTATGTAGGTTTCCAGACTGGCTTCTTTCTAGCATTATGTACTTAAAGTTCCTCCATGTGCTTTCATGGCTTGATAGCTTGTTTTTTAAAATCACTGAATCAGATTTCATTGTATGGCTACAACAGTTTGTTTATTCATTCACTTGGTGAAAGGCATCTTGGGTACTTCCAAGTTTTGACAATGATGATAAAATTGCTGTAAGTACTTATGTGCAGGATTTTGAGTGAACTGAAGTTTTCCAGAGTGACTGTACCCTTTTGATTTCCACTAGCTATGGAGAGTTCTGGTTGCTCCTCATCTTTGACAGCATTTGGTGTGTTCACCTTTTTGCATTTTAGCCATTCTAATAGGTTTACAGTGATATCTCATTGTTGTTTTAATGTGCAATTCCCTCCTAACAAATGATTTTGAGTGTCTTTTTCATATGCTTTTTGGCATCTGTATATCTTATTAATGAGGTGTTCAGATCTTTCACTTATTTATTTTTTTTTTTTTTGCTTTGTGTTCTTTAGTTCTCAGAATTCTTCATATATTTTGGACAGCAATTTTTCCATCAGATTATTTTGTAAATATTTTCTGCCACTATGTGACTTGCTTTTTCCATTCTCTTAACAATGTCTTTCACAGAGCTGAAGTTTTTAATTTTAATGAGGCTCAACTTAATTTTTTTCATTAGTAGATTGTGGTTTTGGTTTTGTATCTAAGAAGCCATCATCGAACCCAAGATCCCTGAGATTTTCTCCTGTGTTATCTCCAAGGATTCTTATGGTTTTGCACCTTACATTTACGTGTAAGATTTATTTTATAAAGGGTATAACATGCATACCTGGATTTATTTATGTATTTTTTTGCATGTGGTTGTCCAGCTGTCCTAGCACCACTAGTTGCAAAGGCTATTTTTGCTGTTTTAAGTTGTCTCTAAACCTCCATGGAAGATCAGTGGACTGTATGTAGGCCTGCTTCTGGGCTCTGTATTCTTTTCCATGGATCTATTTGTGTGTGTTTTCTCTTTTCACCAGCTTCACACTATTTGGGTTACTGTAGCTTAATGTAAGTCCTGAAGTTGGTAGTGCCAAACCTCAGGGGGTTTTCTGAACTTCGTCATGAGAACCTGGTTGAGATCATTGTAGTAAAACTTGGAAATGTGTAAGATTCCCCCTTAGTCTGGGTTTCAAGGAGTTTTTAATGCTCTAGCCCGACCACCTTCAGCTTCTAGTAATCTGTTAATACTATTTAAGTGCTCCTTCCAGTTGCTGACTCCAGTAGCTTCTCTTCCCAGTGAGCTGTGACTCCTTGTATGTTAGCCTGTCTTTCTCATTTTTAGGGTAGCAGTTTTCTCTGTGACCTTAGTTCTCTGGTCCATCCTAGAAGGGTTGACTTTCAGTTCATTCAGCCTTTTTTCTAGCTGTGAGGACAAGTGATGACTGCGTAGCTCTTTCCATGTTGGAATAGAAACCCAAAAGTTCGTTTAAATAAGTACTTGTTATAAAAGTCACCCATTGTCAATGTACAACTCAATGATTTAAGTTGATTTATAGAATTGTGCAGCCATCAGCAGAGTTCAACTTTAGCACATTTTGTCACTTCCCCATGTTCCCTTGAACCTCCTTGTAATCATTTCCTAATCCCTGGTCCCCATGACTGAGTCTGAATAGAATAAATATTTGGAAAGCAGACTTCATTATATTTACATTTTCATGTGTTTGGGACTTTATATAGTGGACTGTTGTGTTTGTTTTGTGACAAGTAGAGAATAGATTGCATTCTAGGGATGGTTTTTTGGGGAACATAATAGTGGTCCAGTTTATGGTCCTGTTTATGGCTCTCCTTGAATTGGTTCATCTGTGTTGGTGACTGTTATTTGCTACCAAACCTTGTCTGGTGAGCAGAAGAAAAAGAATCATTTATTCATTTACTTATTTAATTAATTAATTTATTTATTTTTGAGATGGAATTTCGCTCTTGTTGGCCAGGCTGGAGTGCAATGGCACAATCTCAGCTCACTGCAACCTCTGTCTCCTGGGTTCAAGCGATTCTCCTGCCTCAGCCTCCCGAGTAGCTGGGATTACAGGCATGCGCCACCATGCCCGGCTAATTTTATATTTTTAGTAGAGATGTCGTTTCACCATGTTGTTCAGGCTGATCTCAAACTCCCGACCTCAGGTGATCTGCCCACCTCGGCCTCCCAAAGTGCTGGGATTACAGGCATGAGCCACCGCACCTGGCCAAGAAAAGGAATTTTTAAAAATCTGCTATTAAAATCAAGATGATACATTTTCACATAATAATATGTGGAGTTAAGTACTGAACCATCTTTATTTTAATTTTATTTTTTTGAGATGGAGTTTTTGCTGTGTTCCTCAGGCTGGAATACAATGGTGTGATCTCAGCTCACTGCAACCTCCACCTCCTGGGTTCAAGTGATTCTCCTGCCTCAGCCTCCTGAATAGCTGGGATTACAGGTGCCTGCCACCATGCCCGGCTAATTTTTGTATTTTTAATAGAGACAAGGTTTCTCCATGTTGGCCAGGTTGGTCTCTAACTGTTGATCTCAAGTGATCCACCTGTCTTGGCCTCCCAAAATGCTAGGATTACAGACATGAGCCATGGCCAGACCTGAACCATTTTTATTCTTTCAGAAATGTGATTGATAACAGTAGAGCCACACTCCTCACATG